GCAGTGTAACTTTTATTCTGTATGGTGTGGATTACTCCCCAGTCTCTGAGAGATCTGCTGGACTTTGACATTAGAATGAGTGAAATTAACTCTGAAATGTTGACACTAGAGTAAGTTTTACACTAATTTGGAGTGGGACTAAATGTTATCTGATATTCAAATCAGTAGGTGTTAAAGTAACACACTTGGTTTTACTTTGTACTTTTACTCGAATGACAAAATGTTAAAGTACGTAGGTCTCCTCTTATTCAAGTACTTTTTTCTGTACTCTAAGATAATATCACCTAATCTAGTGTACGATCAGATTTTTTTATTTCCTGATGGACTGGTTTTCACAGGGTTGTTTCAGTACAAGGTTCAGACATCAAGTCTTTTTAGGAATCTCTCAGAAAACCTCATGAAGCAGCTCTACTCTCTCACTGTTAAAACCAGACCCTGGTGACGAGTCAGACAATGTTTAACATGAATGCTCAGACTCTGTGTAAGAATGCTGCTGTGACTAGGAGCTGTAATCGAAACCAAAGAGGGGTGCAACAAAGTCGCAGTGTGAGACTGTTTTGTTTGCCTTTTTGGTCAGGCTGTGTAAATGAGAGAGTTGAGATGGAGCCATAAAGCCTTAACAAAAACCTCCAGCTGTTGCACAAAAGCTTTGATTTATTTTCCTCTCATCAGACTGTGTTGTTGTGGCCAGATCGATGCCGAAGTGTAATTCGGGGAAACGCACACACACGGACGGAGTTCAGGAACACACAGTTGGATTTTATTAACCATCACAAATATCCCGTTGTGTGCAGGTCAAACACACAGACGGGCGGACTTGGCCCCGTGGACCATGAATAAAAGTCTCTGAATCAGCTCTCTGCTTTGTTGGGCGCAGCAAACAATGACTGTTTTGTGTCGCTGACTTCAGGACAATGTGAACGCCAATGAAGTCGCAATGGAAAGCTGCTGTCACGGTTTCAGGGTATTCAAATTTCATCATAACGACTCTGCTCTGCAGACACCTGGAGGTGCAGGTGAGGCCTGGAACCCTGCCTTTTCTCTGCAGCTCTGGCATATGCAGAAACGTAGGAGGTCACCCTAAAACACAACTGCATCCAGGAGATGAAGTGGGAGGCAGCGTTTGGCAGAAAATAATCAATGCCAAGCAGCTGGGAAAGCTTTCTGGTAGAATAATAGAGCAATTATCTGTTTTCTTTTTTTTCCCCGTCCTGATAATTTTCAGTGCATGAAAATCACAAGAGGACATCTGTCTCCCTGCTGCTTGGTCCATCAACTTCTTGATGCAATGGGCAGGAATTCTTCAGCTCTATCTAAGTCTCATATGTCTTAATTATGCAAACAAACAAATCAGGGCTTAGGGGTTTCCTCGTCTGCTCTAACCCACCACTCATCGTCAAACAGAAAATTATGTAAACAAGAAGGGGTATAACAGTATAGCCAGCAAACCAGAAAAGAGGATAAATATTTGCTTTATGAGAATGACAGGAGACCAATCTAGAGTGGTGTATTCTACTGCTAGAGGCAGAGATCATCATCTTACCACGGATCGTACACAGTGAGAGTTCTACAGCAGGAGGAATTAGTGCATCTATATGCTGCTTCTATTATACCAACACATCACAGCATTAAGTTTTTACTTTACTTGTTTTTTTAGTGCCTGAAATAGTCTTCAATTTAAGCCAAAATGGCCGCTATATAGTGGGGGAAATAAATAATTTGACCCCTTGCTGATTTTGCAGGTTTGCCCACTTACAAAGAATGCAACAATCTATAATTTTAATCATATGTACATCCTAACAGTGAGAGACAGAATCCCAAAGAAAATTCCAGAAATTCACATCATATGAATTTATAAAAATTGATAACCATCTGATGAGGAAAAACAAGTATATGACCCCCTGGACAAACAGCAAGTATTCTGGCTCCTACAAGCTAGTTAGTCTTTCTTTAAGACTCAGCCCCAATCCCAACCAATTATCTACATCAAATACACCTGCCTCACCCCGTTACCTGTATAAAAGACACCTGTCAACACCCAAACAACCAGCATCCAACATCACCACCATGGGCAAGACCAAAGAGCTTTCTACGGACATCAGGGACAAGATTGTTGATCTGCACAAGGCTGGGATGGGCTACAAGAGAATCGGAAAGCAACTTGGAGAGAAAAGATCAACCGTTTGACATCTGCGCTGGCCAATAATGGTTTTTCTACAAAATATTAACATGCTGTTTGTCCAGGGGGGTCAAATACTTGTTTTTCCTCCTCAGATGGTTATCAATTTTTATAAATTCATATGATGTGATTTTCTGGAATTTTCTTTGGGATTCTGTCTCTCACTGTTAGAATGTACATATGATTAAAATTATAGATTGCTTATAAAATTATAGATTGGGTCAAATACTTATTTCCCCCACTGTACAATAAGATCAACCAACACTATTTTTTTAGGGCAAATACCAACGTCAACCCACCAAATATATCAAACCATTGCTCTATTTTTGGTTTCATGCTTTTGTTCCGTGCCACCTGTTGTGGTCTAGAACCACATCTGCAGCTGACTGTTCTGGAAAATCCTAATGTTATGCTACGTTCAGACCGCCAGCAGCAGAGGCAGCAGAAGCAGCTAGTTTACATGCAAAGTCAATGGTTGACGCACATCAAGGCTCAGTAAAAGGTCCTGCAGCGCATTTTGAGCAGCAGGAGCTGAATAAATAAATCACTGAAATCTGGTCATGTTCCATTGCCTCTTAAAACAGCTGTCATTAAACCTCTTCTAAAATCTAAATCTACCCTGGATCCAGATATTCTTTCCAATTACCGCCCAATTTCACATCTTCCTTTTCTGTCAAAAGTGCTGGAAAAAGCTGTTGCCGCTCAGCTGCAGCTTCATCTAGAACAAAACTCCCTGTACGAGAAATTTCAGTCTGGGTTTCGTTCTGCTCACAGCACTGAGACCGCTTTGCTGAGAGTTACTAATGACATCTACATGGCAGCTGATGCTGGGTCTACATCTCTCCTTGTTCTCCTTGATCTAACTGCAGCCTTTGACACTGTGGACCATAACATCCTACTACACCGTCTTCATGCGGAGGTCGGTCTCTGTGACACTGTTCTGGACTGGTTTAAATCTTTTCTCTCCAATCGGCTGGAATGTGTTAGCCTTGGCAAGGCCAAGTCCCAGGCTGTCTCTGTCTCCTGTGGTGTCCCACAATGGTCAGTATTAGGGCCCCTGCTGTTTTCCCTTTACATGCTGCCTTTGGGTCAAATCATTAATCGATATAACATCTCCTTTCACTGCTACACCAACGATATACAACTTTATATTAGAACTGGAGCATCACCATCTTCATTTAATGCTTTCACTTCCTGCCTGGAGGAGATAAGGAAGTGGATGACTCAGAATTTCCTTCAGTTAAACTGCTCCAAAACTGAGGCCATGCTGATCGGAACACCTCACCAGGTTCAATCTTCAACTTTGACGACTGTTTTCTTTTCTGGACAAGACATCCCCTTTTCCACCATAGTTACAAATCTTGGAGTTAGAATGGATTCTCAACTTACATTTGAAAATCACATTAAGCATCTGTTTAAAATCTGTTTCCTTCATCTTCGTAATATCTCCAAAATTCGTCCGTTTCTTTCTTTTTCTGATGCTGAGACTCTCGTTCATGCATTTGTCTCCTCCAGGTTAGACTACTGCAACTCTCTGTTTGTTGGAATCCATAAAAAAACATCTTCAGAAGCTCCAATACACTCAAAACAGCGCAGCCAGGATTCTCTTGAGGGCCCGCAAATCTGCCCATATTACACCTATTCTGCATGACCTTCACTGGCTTCCCATCACCTGCAGAATTCAATAATTTTTTTGGACAGAGTATTTCTGGATCAGGGCTTCCATGTCTGCTTGTATCTCCTTAAATCCCTAGTCAGCCTGAGCAGAAAGCGGCTCCTACTGAGACTGGTTCTGCTAGAAATGTCTTTTGTTAAAAGGGACTTTTTCTTCTCCACTATCGCTGCATGCATGGTCAGATGCATGCTCGCCACATATTCATCCAAATGGAGCGTATAATTCAAAGTCAATATCTCTAAGGAGAAGTCCAGTCATATTCAGAATCCAAACTTCTGAAAGTTCTTTAAATATGAAATTATTCCATCCTGTTCAATAAATGATCAGTGTTTTTAATTCAGAGTAATTTCCATGTGAATGTGCTTTACTGGAGGCATCCATGTTTGTCAAAGAACACTACTGCCACCTACTGGTTTGTGACGTCACGGTGCGGTATCGGCTGTTGATCAAGTCCCAGTGCTGTATCTGGTGTTTGTCACAACGCGCTATTATCCAAGTCATCTTGAAAACATTCTTCTTCCAAATGTTGGCTACATATTACGTGTTTTTTCTCTGGCCAGAAGTTTGATGGCAAACCCTCCCTCTTCAAGTTGGCAATCCAACGACCAACCCGTCCGTGGAGGATCAGGAATCAGAAAGGTGGAATAACTCTTTTTTTTTTCACTTTTACTTAATTGCCATGCACGTGGGCATTGTCAGTTTCACTATACTGTAGTTCTGGTGAATTTCAATGGTGAAGTCCTCTGGAAATCTTCAATAATTGTTGTTGATTGCAGATGTGTCTAGTAGTTGTTATTTTTAATTTTTTTACTGATTAACTTTAAATTCATTAAATCACTGCAAACGTATTAGTTTTTGGTATAAATAATGATCCATTGATTATTCTTTGCTGACCAGACTTTTCCTTTAAGATAACTTGAAATGGGTGTTTTTGGCTAAATTTAAAGTAGAACTCGGCTCTTTTATTGTTTTTTGAAACCCATTTGGGGGGTGGGTGGTGGGGGGGGGGGGTCTTACTGGTCCAGTACTTCTGTTTTTTTTTTCTTTGTGCCCCTTTAAGGTCACGTACTGAATCTGACTGACCTATAACATCGTCTCAAAGCGCAGAAAGCAGCATCAAAAGCCTTAGTTAGAGTTAAACCCAACCTTGATCGCAGAGCTGTCCTGTGTAGCTGGGTAGGCAGAGACAGGTGAAGGAGTTGACTCCATCTAAGCAGGTGGCTCCATTCAGACATGGATTAGAGTTGCACTCGTCCACATCTGCAGGCAATCACAGCAGGTCAGAGTTATTGAATATGATCAATCCGTCAACATGGGGATGGAGTGGTTGGCTCTCTGGGTGTGGGTACCTGTTTCACACTGAAATCCACTGAATCCAGGGGCACAGACGCAGATGTTCTGTGGACCTTTCATAAAACAGGACCCTCCATTCAGGCAGACATTGACTGAGCATGGCAGTAGATCTGCACACATTGAACAAACAGTTAGCTGTGCTGTGATCATCTGTTTGTTTGGAGATGGATAAACTCGATAGGTTCAACTGTTCACATACTTTCAATATTTACAGTGCTGGGCTCCACAGACGCCTTTAAATCGGACCTGGCCTCTGCCTGCTCTGTGATCCCAATCTTTATAGGCATCTCCGGCATCTCTCTTACAGGCATCTCCGGGCGGGACTCCAGCAGTATAGGCACCATCATACTGTCATTTCTGACAGATTCCTCATCTGGGAGAACAGTAGCTGAGGGATGATGAATCACAGCTAATTTGGGACTGGAAGGCGTTGTATGGTCACCAGGTGTAGTCAAGGCTGCAGTTGTAGGAATGGTTTTAGCCTTTGCGCTGTGTGTGGAGCTTGTGGTGGACAAGCTGCTGCTGGGAAGCTCAGAAGTAACAAGTGGAGGTTTGGTGGTGAACGCTGCATGTTTCCTTTCTTCAGGCAAAGTGACCGAATAATGCACAGAGGGACTGGTTTGGGAGGATGCACCATGTTTTTCTGTTGTAACTTCAGTATTCAGAGTTGCCACAGCTGGTAAAACAGCAGTGCTGCCTACTGGAGGCAGATCTCCAGAGGCCTCCCCGTCTCCAGACGCCTGCTCCTCACCTGAGCCTGTTTCTGCAGCACCATCATCTGTCTTTCCATCTCTGGCGTTTTCTTCCAGACCTGCAGGGGGCAGAGGCTGTTGGGTGTGAAGGAATGGATGAACTGACGGATGCGTGTTGGGTTTATCTGGAAGATCGACATCTTGCCCAGAGGCCTCCCCGTCTACAGACGCCTGCTCCTCACCTGAGCCTGTTTCTGCAGTTCCATCTGTAGTCTTTCCTTCTCTGTCGTTTAATTTCTGATCTTTTGGGGGCAGAGGCTGTCGGGTGTGAAGGATGGGGTGAATTGATGGGGGCACATTGACCAGGGTCGGTTTATCTGCATGATCGACATCTTGCCCAGAGGCCTCCTCCTCTCCAGATGCAGACCCTTCAAAGTCGCCTAGGCTGGCTTGTGTTGTTGTTTTTGGGGACTTTATATCTGGGGTCAAAGTTGGAAGCTCTGTGCCTCCTATCTCTGCCTCATCCGTTATCACACCAGCTAGTATTGAAGCGGGGGTGGGAAAGGTCTCATCTCCAGAAGTCTTTTCAGGAGTGGCTTTCCGTTTGTCCTCCAAGTCTTCATGTAGGCCGGGCTGTGAAACATCAAGGAGAATTGGAATTGGCAGTGTGGTAGAGGTTGCTGATGAATACTTAGATGGATGAGTGGTGGTTGCTGCTGATTTATCAAGCTCTTGAGATGGAGTAGTCTGTTTGGGGACTGTCTGGATATCATTGACTGAAACAGTAACAGTGGTCTGGGCTGCATCTATGGAAGGAGTGGCCTCTTCAGGCTCCGCTGTGGGGCTCTGTAAATCATCGTATTTTAGGGTAAACACCGTTGGTTCCTCTTGGTCGCCGAGACTAACCTCCCCCAGATAAACAGGAGAAGCTGTCTCAAACTGATCACCGCGGGCTTCCTCTGGATGTGGTGGATTGAACGTCACCTGGGTGGACGGAAGCAAATAAAAACGTTTTTCAAGAAGAATCAGCTATTTCAGTTTTGTCTGCACATCTATCCAGGCCAGCTGACAGCTATCCTAGGGCCCGGAACCAAAAGTCTTTTTGGGCCCCCGTCTACAACTATCTCTGATCGAGCAGCAAGCCCTTCCATTTGCACTGTGTTATGGGTAGGATGACTCTCTGTCTCCTCCTCAAACACACGCTCCCCCCGCCCCCCAAAACTGCGACAGGAGACCTGCTACAGTACAATGTCCTTTTTCTGCGCCTTAGACTTAGACAGATTTATTTTGTATACACCAGTGTATACAAAAAGAAATTAAGTTTAAAACAGCATCCTTGAAAACATTAATAAATACATAAAAAAAATGTAATATAAACATATAACATATATATATATATATATACATAAATATATGTATTTATTTAGTTTAATATAAAAAAAAAATTCATGACAGTTTTTTCTCAAAAAATATTTCTGCCTGTATTTTTAATAGTCACTGTCAATTTTAGACCCCCCCCCCCCCCCCCCCCTCTGTCCTGGGCCTGGGACAATTGACCACTGGCATGCATCTAGCCCAGGGATCAATTTCCTTCAATGTCTGAAACATGTGCCAACATTTTCGAAACCGATAAAATTAGCCAGAATGACCCACTGTCCAATACCTACATCAGATAGAAAACGAGAAACAAAGGCTTGAGAGAATGAATGATCATCGGGTTGAACGCTCCCCTGTACCTCATGTTTTCCATTGACAAAGCGGATCTTCTCCGATAGGAGTTCTGAGTCTTCGTTGTTCAGGACAGCCTCACTGGATATCTGTGTGAGTCCAGGGATGTGTGGGAAGTGAAACTGGGAGCCATTTGATGGCTGGTTCAGGAAATCCAAGACATTTTTCACTGGAGGTGGAGGAGACGGAACAAGTTTTAAGAAAACAGACGCAATCGGATTTTAAGTATAACTCTGGATAAGCTATTTGTACCAAATGGGGGCTGAAAATGATTTACAAATTGATGTGATAAATCTTTGGATGTTAATAAAACTTTAGTAAAAGTTTGTAAGTAGAGTAATTGCATAATACGGATCTGGACTTGTGAAATTCCTTAATTCTTCCAAAAACTTTCAAACTGTGGTGAAGGTGGAGAAGTTGTCAGGCTTCTTTAATTTACTGTTTGGTTCCTAGAATTTCTGAAAAGTTATCCTGAGCTACCTCTATAGTTCTGCTGCTATAGGCTTAGACTGCTGGAGGACATAGGGACCCCTTTTTCATCATTCTGCATCATTCCATCTCTATTCTCCCACTCTGCAGAATCTGTTAGTTCAAAATTTAATGTTAAGCTCTCCTTTTTCTCATAGTAGCTTCATCTGGTCTGTTCCTGTTTGGCTGTGACTCCATCCTGGAGAGAAATATCAGCTGTGCTGCTGCCATCAACACCTTTGTTTCTAGATGTTGGAGATCGGCCTGTTTGTCAATGTTTCTCTGACTGTGACTAACTGGATGTGCTCTCTTCATCCTCTGACATGGGAGCTGGCTCGGAGCTCGTCTGCCTGGCTGTGTGTTTCCTGGACGGGGCCGCCTGTGGAGCTGGTTGACAGTTGCCTTTTGTATCTATGCTTCTTTTTCTATGTCTGCTTCTGTCTCCTTGAACCCCAGTGGGCCTCAGCAGATGGCCGCTCACACTGAGCCTGGTTCTGCTGGAGGTTTCTTCCTGTTTAAAGGGAGTTTTTCCTCTCCACTGTCGCTACAGGCATGCTTAGTGTGAGGGATTGCCTTCGAGTCAATTAGTCGATGCAATCAACGGTTTTCCTTAGACAGAAACTTTGAATCAAATTGACTGTGTGATCCGGTGAACTGTAAAGTGTCTTTAGATGACATGATTTGTGAATTGGCGCTATAGAAATAAACTGAATTTAATTGAAATGGCAGTGGAAACAAAGTTTGAGAAATTAATTGCAATTTCACGATTTCCTGCCCTTCAGTATCTGTTCTTTATTTCCCAGCCTCTTGCAGATGGAATCACTTTGAATATCCATTGTTGATGTGCATTTTGTACCAAGTTACACCCAAACATGACCTATATTGACCCTTGTCTCCAAAAGTGGTCCTTAAATGTTTGGCAGAAAAATGGACCAGTTGAATTTTGTTTGTAGAATGTGATCATCTTAGAATAAAAAAAATAAGTGTTTTCCAGCTTATTTGGCTTCTCACCAGTGTTGAGTAAGTTACTCAAAAAAGTAGCTAGTTCTAGTTAATACATATTGCTCCAAAAAAGTGAGTTAGTAAATCAGTTACTGCTGAGTGAAAGTTTGTTACTAGCCAAAGTAAATATGCAGTTACCTTTTATCTATTTACCTTTTATGTATTAAAATGTCCAAGAATTGGAAAAACTTTATTGCTTTTGGAATTTAAAATACAGCTAATAGTTTATTTATGGAATATAAGGTGTTTGCTATTAATTAGCAAATTAAATAATTAATTTAAAGGTCTACACACCTGAAAACATTGAAAAACAATTTGCACTACTGGAAAAACAATCTAGAAATAAGTAAAAAGTTCCTTAAATTAAGTATATTTACCCTTAATTTGAGTAGGTAAATGAGATAGTTTGCCAATGGAATCAGTATTTTTTCTCTTAAAATAAGATAATTAGATCATATGAACTTTAAATAAGACAATGCAATTTTTTTTCTAATTTTAAGTCTAAATTGTCTTGTTTCATTGGCAAAATGTCACTTTTACCTCCTCTATCAAGAACAAATGCACTTAATTTAAGAAAAAATGACTCATCTAGGTTTCTATTTTTTCCAGTGTATTGTGGTGTATTTGACCAGTTAGTTGTAATACAATTATGTAGATGTTATCATGTGTCTTGTTTGTATTAAAAGAAAAATAAGATGTTTTAGAACTTGATATTTTTGCACAACCTTCAATAGGCTATCAAATAGCTATGAAGCTGAAAAGCAATGCTTTCAAGCAATTTAACAAAAATATATGTATACTTTGGTGCAGGTTTTAACAGGGGTTACACAATTCCAGGAAAGGAAGAAAAAACAAAAAAAACCCTAGCAGGACCTAACAGGAAAACATAAACCATGCAAATAAAATCATTATTTACATGGTTCCAGTAGTTGTAGTCCTGCTGAGGAGACATTTTTCCTCTGAACTGTTTTTATAGATTCTTTTGATAGTAATATTTGCAAACATATCTGATGGTTTTCTCTTTCTTTAAACTATTAAGCTCTCTGTTTCTGTGCAGTCTACACACCAGACTGTTTACTTTGAACGCTGCCATGGAAATGTTGGGTAACGTCTTTCTAAACTTTCATTTCCTTTAATTACTGCGACCTTTTGATTGAGTTTATTTATAATATGATTCTGCTGATCAAGCAAAGGATCTAAAACTCCTAAAACCAGATATTTACATCCAGTTTATAAAAAGATGCATAGTAAACTTTCTTATTTCATTCATCTATTTAGAATAAACTTCTTTTGTTTTGGATTAGAAATGATTATAAGAAGTATTTAGATTTGCTGAAAACAAAAAGGAGAGAAGTATTCTCTCTGTTACTGTCAGAGGTTTACATGCACGTAATATAGCAATAATAAAACTTTTTTGAAATTCTGTGTCATTCTGAATAAGGTATTCCCAGCATTTATGCCTAAATTCAATCAAAGCACTCCTAAAATTGGCATTGTTTTTAATTTGCTTTTAAAAATAAAAAACCCATCTACGGGGTGTGAATGTCTGGCATTTTGATAAAGCTTCTAGTTAGAGTGGCTCAGGTTATCCTGAGCTATCTCTATAGTTATGCTGCTATAGGCTTAGACTGCTGGAGGACATAGGGACCCCTATTCATCACTCTGCCTCATTCTATCTCTATTCTCCCACTCTGCAGAATCTATTAGTTCAATCTCTAACGTTCTGCTCTCTCTGCTTTTTCTCATATTCGCTTCATCTGGTCTGTTCCTGTTTGGCTGTGACTCCATCCTGGAGAGAAATATCAGCTGTGCTGCTGCCATCAACACCTTTTTGTATAGATGTTCCAGATCAGCCTGTTTTTCAGTGTAGTCCTGTTTCTCTGACTGTGAAATACGGCTTTAACCAGGATGTGCTGCACAATGCATAATTTTACATACATCATGGAAGTCATGCGATCGTCCCATATTAAATGTTTTCAAAAGCAGCCGTACAACCAACATTTCAGTGGACATCCGTCTAAACAAGACCTCATTTTCCTAATCATCTAGATCTTTTACTACTTCCCTCATTTCACCGAACAAGGAGGAGATCAACAGGGAGATGAGAGAGAGCTGAGCACTGAAAGAGAAGAACAGCTGACAGAGAGAGCAGCAGCCACCAATCCAAAGCATCTCAAAAGCTTCCTCTTGATTTAGGCAGAGATAGCAAAAGTACTCACTTTCCGTACTCGAGTAAAAGTACAGATACTTGTGTTAAAAAATGCTCTGGTAAAAGTGGAAGTACTGATTAAACTTCTTTACTCAAGTAAAAGTAACAAAGTACAGGCTTGTAAATTTACTTAAAGTATAAAAGTAAAAGTAGAAACCACTTTTTTCATGCCGTTGCCTACATTTTAAATGGATGTCTGCCAATAGGACTTGATCTCTGTTGTGTTCATTTTCAATCATCTCGTCGTCCATGCTACTATGCTAACGCCACCGCCACCAAGCTGCAATGATTTGCCGCAAATGAATACCGCCGAATCTGTCGATTCATCTTGTAGTGGTGCGTCAAATGCAACGTAGATTCCCATCCAATTAGACTGAATTTGGTATTGATGACGTGAAAAATAATACCGGTAACTCCATTGAAATGATTCAAAACTAAAGTAACGGGCCAATTTTTAAAATGTAAGGAGTAGAAAGTACAGATATTTGTGTAAAAATGTAAGGAGTAGAAGTAAAAAGTCGCCATAAAAATAAGTAGTAAAGTAAAGCAAAAATATCGGAAAAATCTACTTGAGTACAGTAACGATGTATTTGTACTTCGTTACTTCCCATCTCTGGATTTAGGGAATAAGATCACAGGTCCTAAACAGGACAGTTCTAGTTCCCGCTCACACACAAAAAGAGCCTTTCATTAAAACTGGTTGAAAAGCTTTAAATGGTTGAAATATTCTTCTAAAAAATGTTGCTTTCACAAACTGTGTTTCTAAAATGCATGGACTAAAATAAAACAGCAGTCTGTGGAAACACATTTGCAGAGAATTTTCAGTGAGCCGAAATGATCAGTGAGGAAATTCTGTTAAAAAAGCATCATAAAAGCCAGATTACATTTTGGAAATGTCCCTAAAATGAAAAACTTTGGTCACATGTCCTGATTTAGCTCAAATGAAAGTGTTTGGCCATAATGAACATCTTTGTGGAACAAGGTGGGAAAAATGAACAAACCCAAGAACCCCATCCCACTGATGAAGCACCGTCTTGGCAGTAAACTGCAGTGCAGACATTTTGCAGTAGGAATGACTGATGCACTAAACAGAGTAGAGGTCATAATTAGGAAAATATAATATAAAAAAATATTAGGAAAACCTTAAGGCGTCAACTATGAAGTTAAAGATGATTTTTGCCGTGGATACAATACTTGAATATGTGTGTAAAACTCTAAATTTAAAGTAGCAGAAGTGAAAAAGCAGTTATAACATTTTCTCTGCAATGGGTTTTATTCATCATCACTTTGCTAAATGGTTCTTGTTTGGGGGTTTCTTCTGCATTTTGATGTTTCTGATCTGTTTGTTGCCATTTTGTTGTCCCTGGTGATTTAGTTTCTTAGTCTGGTGTTTTTTAGCCTCAAGAAAAACACTCCAGGCTTTAGATGTGTCTCTGCTTCAGCAGTACTAATTTCCATTGATAGTTAAAGTAAAGTAAATAAAAAAAAAA